TTTCATATTCATACATCTTGATGTCGAGATGATCGATTAAAGTGGTTTTTCAACATTAAAACAATATTTCCGATAGATTTTTAGATGCATCTATGATTCTACATTTTAAGGTTGTAACCTCATATAAACTTTTCCCATTAAGTAAAGCTACTTAGTGCATAGTGGTCCTGGTGGCACTCCTTACATAGTTATCACGTTGTGGTTTACAATCTTACTGACACCACTGGACACTTTAAAAAACAACTCCCCCTAACCTTAACCTATATGAAAAGACGGATAGGAACTGGTCTTGATTCTTTGGCTAAGGATGCTATTACCTCCCTCTCTTCTCTTCCTTCATGCTTCTCTTTTTTTTTTCTTTTTTCTCTCTCTATGTTTACCCTTTTTTTTTTTCTTTTCGTCCTTTTTTTTTTCCATCCCTTTTTTCTCTTTTTTTGTACTTTTTTATTTTATTTTATTTTAGGAATTCTCAACCTCCTTGTAATTTTTATCTTAATATAATTCTCCTCCTTCGTGCTTCTCTTTTTTCTTTCCTTTTTCTCTCCTTCTATTTACCTTTTTCTTCTGCTTTTTTCTCATTTTTTCTCATTTTTTTTGTACTTTTTTATTTTATTTGTTTGAGGAATTCTCAACTCCTTGTAATTTTTATCTTAATATAATTTAGTTATTTCAAAAAATGTTTATATTGATATCAATCTTTGTTTGGAAATATTTGGTGAAAATAAATATCTTTTTTTTTTTTTGGGTTATTCAATGGGGAAGACAGGCCTCTGTCTGTTTTTCAAATAGTTTAGGAGTTGACCTTTTGAAGGTGTTAGTGGACTTGTTAGTGGAGTGGTGTCTGTGGAAATGGAAACCACAACATGGTGATTTAGGTGTAGGGTCCTACCACCATGACCTCAACTCTTTTTATCATCAACATCGTAGCTTTTTTCCAATTAATTGGGGTTGGCTACACTGATCTTGGTCCGCCATTCTGCTAAATTAAATGTCATCCTTTCAATAAGACTATAAGTCCTCATATCTTTCCGAACTACTTCGAAGCACATCCTTTTGGGCCTACTCGCTTCCTTTTTATGTCTTCCCACTTGAACTAACTCGCACCTCCTAACATATGTTATATACTTAGTCAGCGCTGCACATAGCCAGCCCATCTTAGTCTAATCTCTTTCATTGTATCGCTTATTTACCTAAATTATCCCTAATAGATTCATTTCGAATTTTCTCTTCTTGTCTTACCACTCATCCATCTCAACATCTCTATCTCCACTTTATAGGTACATTGTTTTTTATCTGCCCAATATTCAACCCTATAAAGCAATGCCGGTCTCTAAAAATAAAATAAAATAATAAATAAATAAAATAAAATAATAAGTATTAATAAAAGATAGTAAATAATAGTTAAAAAAATTTAGTTTCTAAATGTTATGGTTCCAGGTGAACCTCTACGTAAATACAGGCTAAATCTTTTGATGTTGGCCTTGCATAGGAAGCACAATTACACCCACGAAATGGCCAACTGTTTACAGTCTATCAACCGTTTGAATCCCTTTTGAAAATTTATCCATGCAAATCACAACGTCCTATGATGCATTGCTTAATCCCATATGACCCAAAGGTTTGCTTTTGGACTCATGCTCTCTAATAACTATTGACGACTCTTCTTTTTTTTTTTTTTCTTTTTTTTTTTTATAAGTATTGCTAAACATTCTATGACTATAAGAAAGAGTTACAATGATGACAGACCCCTTATCAAAGGGGAATATTGTTAGTAACCTAGGTTCAAAATTTCTTGTTTCCTCCACTCTCCCACATTATAATTTGTACTTATTATAGAAATTTGAATATAACATGTATCATGTTTCCAAGAACAACTATATCATGCGGGCTGGACCCAATTTGTACAATATGTGGTCCCGAGGTATAAAGCATCAATTTTAAAGATAGATGCAAATAGGTGATTTATCTTGAAACAATTGTAACTAACGGTCCAAATATTTTTTTAAGATAATTATTTATTTCTATTTTCAAATTTTATTTATTTTTTCATATTCATGATCTCTATGTTGAAGATTATATATTCTCTACAAATTAGGATCAAATTATATTTAAAAAATACATTTATTGTCAAGCCCGTCATATTTCCAATTACTACTTAGAGTGAGTTTTATGCCAAGGAAAGAGACGAGCTATAGTGGTTGATTCATTTTAGCAACTGAAGAAAAAGAAATTTTGAATTCAGCAAGTTATACAATTGTTGTGATCCCATTCATGGGCATATTATTGAATTAAAACTTAAAAGGATGGGGCTTCTATGGGTCGACCAACTCATGTGTAATGCCGTCTAGATCTTTTTCTTTTTTTTTTCTTTTTTTTTTTTTTTTTTAGATTCATCATTTAGGCCAAAATGATCATAAATACAAAAAATAAAATAAACTTTTAAAACTGAAAATACAATTTTTAGATTTTTTTTGTAAACCGTCCATATCTTATTTATCGACAATGGGACGTTTGTAAACCAGTGGGCTCTTGCGCCCGCTGACTCATGAAGCAAGTTTCCAAACTTAAAAAGTGGTGAACGTGCAGATGATGGCACACGGTGGTCCCTCATGGTGCATAATATGCGGACGACGACATACGCTCTGTCGTGGTGCCAATTTTGGTCAAAACTAATGGAATATTTTTGCGTAAATATATCTCAAGATATTTAAAATTTATTTTGACCAAAATGCCTTCAAAACAATGCTGAAAACCCTAATCTGAAAATTGCTCTTCCCAAGACGGTAACCTGCTCAAGCGAAGTTCAAAGTGGGTCAAACTTGATAACAAATCGAATGGACCTTTATGATTTTTCTAATAGTTAAAATATCATCAGAGTATGTGACATTTTGGTGAAGAGTTATAGCTGAAACCAGTGATTCAAAACCTAGATCGGTGAGGTAGATTGTTCGACCTACAAATGCATGTTAGATTAATCGATTGCAATCCAGATCAGTCTGAATCGATGATCAACAAAAATAAAAAAATAACTTAAATTTATATAGTGGAAATTTAGGAAGACCTATAAAAACATTAGTTAAGCATTTAAAAAGGGAAAAAATATATAAAAGGTCAGGGTTTCAAGAACTGGGCCAAGACCTATATAATCCTAAAACTGGTTTAGCTCCAACCAATTTTCCATCAGGATTAATAATTAGGATCAAGCATTGCCTGGTTTTCAAAAAGCTAGCTGAAACAATGGAGACATGCCACAACTCCTCAACTATCCTTTCCACATAACAAGAGACGTAGCTTGCCACCCACAAACACAATGGGCAAGTTTGATATCATACTCGCAAAAATCATATTTGGTAACTGAGAATAGTGAACAGTAATTGGGGATCCGAATGACCCTATCCCCAAAAAATGAGGAAAGAGAAATTCATGTTTCTTTGAGATATCCACCTCTCTCTTTTTTTTTCTTCAAAAGTTCTCCTTCTTTATATTGAAAGAATCTCTCAAATCTAAGTTTTCATATCTGTACTTTCTTCTTCTTCTTCTTTAATCTCCCGGACTTTATGAGGATGCCTATACGGGGTCATGACTTCTTCCTAAGATAAAATTTTTGTAATTATTTTTTATCTGCTAGATTTCTAATGAATGTTTATATTGTCATAGGAGGTTTTTTTTTTTTGGTGAATTAGTGGGGATATCGGTCCCCTACCCATTCTATTAAAAAACAAAAAAAAATTTATATAAAAACCTCTTATATAACCCTTGGCAAGGGAACACTAGCAATATCATATGAAATATAAGGTATTACAAAATCAAGGGTCGAGCACGCCACACAGTTGATTCATTCATACAAACCGCTGCCTTAGCCAAAGAATCTACAGCCATATTTCCCTCCCTATATGCATGTTGGGCCTTCCATTGTTGGTTAGCAAAAGATGCAAGCATAGTTATCCTATTAGCCAAAATTAAATGCAATCTCCAAGGAGACTTGGAACACCGATTCAATGAGTCAACAAGGAGTTTCAAGTCACTCTCAATGACAAGAGGTACACAATTCAATTCCATCGCCAAAGAAATACCTCTCTCAAATGCATAGAATTCAACTGTGTTATTCGAATTGGTACCCAGATAGGCTGCAAAGGCCACAATAAAACCACCTACATCATTCCTGATAATGCCCCCACAACCAGCACTACTTGGATTCTACCTAGGGGACCCTTCGATGTTAAGCTTGAAATTTCCCAAAAGTGAAGGTAGCCACGTCACTTGAATATGTCATAGGAGTTACTTAATATTGCTTAAACTCATTACTTACTTGCAAGCATCTTTCTTTGCATCTTCATACAGCCATATGTATGATAAAAATTGAATATTTTGGTAGGACTGTAAATGGTTATCTACAAGTGTATGCAAACTGTTTATCAAAATTTTGGAAGAAGATGCCCCAAACTGGGTTACCAAAATCCCAGATTCAATCAAACAAGGGATATTGCAGTTTTAAGGAAACCAAACTACAGTGGGCATTAGTCCATCAAAACCGGTCAACAACTAGTCAAACCGCTTGAACCAATTTAAAGAAAACCAAAAAAACGTTTTGTTTACTAGTTTGAAAATATAAAATGAATGAAAAATTTTCCAACTTTATTTACCTGGTCGTATTGGTCAAAACCGGCTGGTCCGACCGGCGAAAACCAATTAAAAATTGGTTTTGACTGCTTTTTTACTATATTGATTTTTCTTTTGAATCAGACTAACCAAGGCATTGGTCGGCGATCCCACAAGTTAGTCCATTGATTCAATTTGGTTTTGATAACTATAGTTTCAATAGAAAAATAGTGAATGTGAATTCCATAATAGGAAGTTAATCATGCATTTCTCTGAGTGGACATATCATTTCAGTCTATATCCCTAGTATTACTTCAAGCTCAAGCAAAGGCCTATATGCATTTGTAGTCATAGAAGCTCTACCCAAATGAAATATGCAAGCAAATCTAAACTTCCTTTAGTAGTGGATAAACAAAGTTTACAATTTATAGCCTCTTACCCTATGGAAAAGATGCAAGAAAGTGCAGGGGAAAAGGAATTCCAGAATATAAGAGAATGGACTACAGATTCTACAATGATAAAAGAGTCCTTCCTAGAGTCAAGGACACATCCACTCCTCCCTTGTAAGCCTCCTCATCTTCCATACTTGTCTTAGACTTCTTCTTCAAGGAATCCAAGAGGCCTAACTCTTTCAAAGGTGCACAACTCTCTTCATAACTGTTCCATTGGACTGGAAACCCTAATTCAAATTTAAATGCACCTTGATGGTGAACATGTTGGTGATGATCAACTGTGGGTGAAATCATACGTTTACGAATGCCACATAGAGAGCTACTATCTATCACCTCCCCTGGTCTCTTCAGGAAATGATCCTCACCACCCTCTTCATTCTTCATGCTTCGATACATCTTCATCCGCAGCAATTGCGCAATGAGTGACCGCAGCGGTGTTTAAAAAACTGTCAGTACACTTTGGGCATGCGAAATCTCTAAGATGGCTCTAAACTCTATTTCCACAACCGAATGTAACATTTGTAGCTCAAAAAATAGTACAAATCTAGTGGATTTGTGAACACTTCAAAATAGACGGTCTAGATAACATTTTACAATATACACTATTTTTTAGGACTTGAAATCTTTTTTATTTTTATTTTTGCAACCATAATGATATGAATGATTTGAAGGTTTTTCGACACCCGAACTATATTTTTGGTGTATTTTGAAGCGAAGCTTTTCTATTTTTTTGTAAAAATAACCTTTTTCTTATGTATGTGTGTATATATATATAGGGATTGTAGACTATGAACCCATCTACTTTGAATACAAGAAAGTCACAATCGTTATTAGCCACTAGATACGAAATCTGACAAACTAAAATGTGTCATTATATTCAAAAAAATTTATTTTGAACCGTTGGGCCTATTAATGCCACATCCCCATCACCCAATTCGTCATCCAAGTGTTGATCATTATTGTGATCTCTTTATACAAATAGTAAATTGTCTTATATATATAGTAAATTGTCTTTTATATATATATATATATATATATATATATATATATATATATATATGTGTGTGTGTGTGTGCGCACGTACGTGAGAGAGAGAGACTATATACCATGACTATTTACCATTATTACAAGGGATTATAATCACTCATGGCCATTGGATATCAAAATAGGTGGCTTGAGATGTCAAAATAGGTGGCTTGGGATGTGTTATGAAATTCAAAAAATTCTTGTTTGAATTTGAGTCTAATCAAGTGACACACTTACAAGCCCCAATATAAAATCTGAGAGACTGAGAGTAGTGGCGATCTCCTTGTACTTAAAAGTAAATGGCATCTTTATGTGCTTTTCGTACATACATGCATACCTAAAATGAGAATTTTCACACTGTAATATATCATTTGTAACTAGGGGAATATACCATTTGTAAGTTGTCAATTCCCCACTCATATGAGTCTTGGAGTATAGGACGTCATTTAGTTAGGAAATTTAGATCACGTTTTTATTGTTTTTTTTTTTATTAATGAAACGTTGAGATCCCATGTTTGTACGACGACGAATAGTATCCAAACAGAATATGAATCCACCAAAATGTTGGGATCACGTTAGAGGCAATAGTGGTTGTGTGCCAAAAGTAAATAATGTCTTTGAATAATTTTTTTTAGGGTGTGGTTTCTACAAGTTGCAATCTTAATCAATCCAATTAAGGTGCACTTTCAAATTTTATCATAACATGTAATTTTAGTATAAATTTTTTTTAGAATTGTCTCAAAATTTATTTTCATATTTTAGTTATAAACTTTTAAATTCCAAAAATGCTTAAAATCAAGTAGATCTATTAACATATGAAAGTCTTGAAAATAGACGGTCTAGATAATGTGTTGCAAGATACGCTATTTCTGAGATTCAAAATATTTTTTTTTTTTTATATATATTCATACATCTTGACGAGATGATCAATTAGAGGGTTGATGATCAATTAGAGGGTTTTTTGACATTAAAACAACTTTTACTGATGGATTTTTGAGGTGCATCTTTAATTCTACATTTTAAAGTTGCAACCTTATATAAACTTTTTCCTTTTTTTTTATTTAATATTTTATCTATTTTTTAATATTCCAACTCATGATCATGTATATTGTGAGAGGCTTTTTAAAATTAAATAAAAACATAAATAAAGTATTAAATAGTTAACATGTTTGATGCATTTTGATAGATTTTCAAAAAAAAATATATCTTCATAGCCCTCCTACATGTTTGTTTTTTTTTTTTTGGTAATTCAGTGGGGATGACGAACCCCTACCCGTTTTTTAAATCGTTAGTGGTTTTTTAATGTGTTAGGTGAGAATGAAAGCCTAGACTTTAGTTGGACCACAAGTAGTACTACTACCATTACCCCAACCCTATTCTCATTAAACTGGTATGTCAGTGGGATTTGGGCCCTTACCTTTTGGTGGGAACGGAGTCAGACACCTTCCTATAGGACTTGACAATACATGCCATTCTCAAGAAAACTATATGTTTTTTCTATTATACTATTTGAGTAGTAGTAAAAAGTGGTATGTCAATGGGGATTTAGGCCCCTACCGTTTGATGAGAATTGAGTCAGAGACCTTTTATAAGGCTCGACAATACTACCATCAAAGACCGTGCCATTTTCAAAATTGATAAGTCAGTGGGGATTTGGTGAGAATGGAGTAAGAGAACTCACCATGAGCCACCCACATGTTATAAGCATATGTAAATGTATGCTCCATATCGTACATGCATAAGAGTATGCGTGTTCCCTTACAATACGCATGAGTTTATTTATATGTATGGTACTTCATTAAATGAGAATAAAGATAAGATGTATAATTATGTGTGGGTAAAGATGCATGTGTATGGTGTACTATGCCATCTTTTTTTCACGCTTTAGAGAGAGGAGGAGAGAGAGATGGTGTATGGCTTCCCTTGAAAAAAGAAAAATTTTACCTAGGAAAAATTTCATATAAGGTTGCAACCTTAAATTGTAGAATTACATATGCGTCTCAAAAATCTATCAGAAAATACTGTTTCAATGTTGAAAACCCCTCTAATTAATCATCTCAATATCGAGATGTATAAATATGAAAAAAAAACAAAAAAAAAAAAGATTTTGAATTCCAAAGCAGTGCATCTTGCAATACATTATCTATATCATCCATTTTCAAGTTCTTTATACTTGATTTTAACCATTTTTAGAATTTAAAATTTTATAATTAGATATGATCATAGATTTTAAGATAATCTTAATATTTTTGTACACCAACATTACATATTATGATAAAATTTGGAGGTGTGCCTTAATTGAATTGTTTACGATTGCAACCTTGTAGAAACCACACCTTTTTATATAAGGTTACAATTTATATGTGTAGAAATAAGATTGTAGTAATCTATACCGCTGATTTATTGATACTATTTTTTAAGATGTGTCAAATCTACATCCAAATAAAACAAACGGTAAACAATATCGTAACTTTATTACTACAAATAAGATTGCATACATATATCTATATATGAAAAAAGATGGGATTAGCCCACTAGCTCACATATGAGCCCAACGTCCCATATTAAATCTGGGTCGATCTGACAATCACGGATGTCCAGGAGTGCTTGAATTTTTTTTTTTTTTATTAAATCTAAATCACTTGAAAGTTTACGTGTGTGTTCTTCTCATCAAAGCGCACCTAATATAAATATAAAAACATTTATTCACAAAAATAAAATGACAAAATACCCCCTAAAAAATTTTCGAGGGTATTTTGGTCAATTATTTCATGTAAAATAATTTTTTTTAATAGTACGTGGGTAGCTAAGGCACACAGGGGATAGG